CCGCCCGTAATTTAGGACAAACATAATCTAATTTTATAACTGACTCCCACCAATATGGTCCGTACATAAATTTCTCTTTTCGTACCACACCCCTAACCTAGTTACTGTTTTTTGTTTTTTTACTTTTACACCCCAATTAAAAAACTAAATATTTTGAAGACTAAACAACCTTTCCCGCCCTTAGTCTACCAATTAAATCTTTGTCTGTACCTGCCCTTTTTATCTCTCTACCTGCTCTCTTTGACCACCCTTTATCTCTCAGTCTCTCTCTCTCTCTCTGCCCAATACAAGTCTTCGTCTCTCTCTCTCTCTCTCTCTCTCTCTCTCTCTCTCTTGCACTGAAAAAATACGATCCACCACAAAAGTGTGCCAAACTTCTAGAATTCCAGAAGCTTTGTAGCCGGTCAGGCACACTTTTGTGTCGGATCGAAGTAAAACATTTCGTGTCGGACCGGCCACGAGGCTTTTGAAATACAAGAAGCCACCGCTTTTTTTTTTCTTCAGTTCAGCACAAAAGTGTGTCAGACCGGTTATGAGGCTTCTGGATTTTCAAAATCCAAAGCCTGCTCGGGCACTCTTTTGCGCGAGATTGCATTCTTTCAAGATGAGAGAGAGAGAGAGAGAGAGAGAGATTTAGAGAGAGTGAGAGACTGATGTTGGGCAGAGAGAGAGAGGGAGAGAGAAAGCAGATAGAGAAAGAGAGACGGAGAGAAAGAGAGAGATAGAGAGCGATTTAATGGGTAGGGTAAATGAGGGGAAATGTAGTTTAGTCTTTAAAAGAAGGATGTGGTTAACATGTGGCCAGCCCGCACTGTAGAATTATGGGCTCGGCAATAAATATATTTTTTAAATATAATTTGATTCTAATTTTTGGAGAATATATAATCTTTAACCTGGAGATCATATAATATGAAAAAAAAAAAAAGTTTGAAAACTAGAATAATAATTATATTAAGAAAACATTTGGACCGTTACTTACAATTGTTTTTTGATGTACCACCTATTTGCATCTATCTTTAAGATAGATGCTTTATACCTCTAGATTATATATTGTGGAAATGCGGTCCAGCCGCCATGAAACAATTGTTCCTAAAAGAATGACTTTTTGACTAGGGGATAAAAGCAAGAAAAAACAGTACTTGGGCTAATTCATCGAAATAAGGTTCATTCATCAGGTGCATTGGTCCGACCAAATAGGTGTGATAATAAAAGTATTGAAAGATAAAATATCTACGAAGTTTATTTTGAAGGGGTATTCATAATTTTCCTTATATTATATCTCTAGTGTTTTCAATTCCTATTTTTCTGGCTAATGTTATATTTTTTTTATTATAAATGCAGTTTCCATGACTTTTAGCTTTTGGTTGATTGTGCTGTCCTTTTTTGAAAATGATTAGTTTTTGCTAGTATATTTATGTCCGACTTCATTGGATATTGGAATCTTTTTGTTTATTTTCTGTGTGGTCTAGTGTTTGAAATTATCAAAAAGAAATCCTAATTTGTGCTAGAAAACATGCACCGTAAACAATTTCCTGCAAATTGCATTGTAGAATTAGAAGCATCTGCCAAGAACACTGCGAGTAAGTGAGTGAGAGAGAGACACCTAGTTCGGGATGGTTGCAAGGTGAGATATGGGTAAGAAAAGAGCTGTAGTCGTGAATAAGACGAAAGGGACCAACAAACCGGAGGAACATAAATTCCCATTAGTTTAGAAGACAGAGATATAGACGCCAACCAAAGGGTAGGGGTGGCAATCTAGTTGTGTTGATCCGCCAAATCTCACCGGGATCGAGTATTTGGACCCCGTGGATCATGTCCAGCTCCGATTGACTTGGGCCTCACTCAAGTTGGCCCGAGATCTGGATCGGGTCGCGTCCATTGGGTCGGGCCGGATCCGGGTTGGGTCAACCCAACCTGGTATGAAATATATAAAACATATATTAGACAATATAAAATATTAAATTTTTATTTTTAAAATATTTTTTAGACCAAGGTCCTTATCATGTCCTGATCCAAATTAGTTGAACCTGACCTGATCCGGTAGGGTCTAGGTCCAAATGACTTGGGAAGTCTGGTCAATCTGAATCTAAATTACAGGCGGCACTCCCCATGGCGGAATTTTTTTTTTTTTTTTTCCAATATACTTTCCTATCCGGTAATGTGAGCATGAGACAAGTGGGGTTTATACCGTACAAAGCAAAACAGCTTTCCGATGTTTGAAATACCGGATAGCTATCTGCTCTAAACATCGCAAATCTCTCTCAACCCTTCTCTCTCACACTCTCTCTCCCCCTAAACCATCTCTTTGTCTCTCTCCCGTAACCCATCTCTCTCCCATAACCTTACAATAGAAACTCATAAGGTGTGCATAAAAACCCCCAAGAGCTCTCCACATCAATGGCCTGCACTGTCCCCCACAGTAAGGGCAATTCCCAGGGGCCGCGTACCTACTCACTACGCGCTCCTCCTCATCGCACACAAACACCAGGCACGATCCTCCCGCAAATTGCCTCTACTCCCCCAGTTAAAAGCCCCCTATGTCTACATTCATTTCTCCCAGTAAATCTCCACCTCTTTTTTTCTCTAAACCTCCTCCAAACTCTAAGTTTTTCTCTCTAAACCTCGTGGATAAGTTCCAAAACTCAATCAACACTATGGAGTTCTTGCAGTAGTTCATGAGACAATGGAGAAGTGAAACCAAAAAAAAATGCATCATGATCTCTGGGACAAATCACTGCAGAGAAAAACCTTTCCATCTTTCTGGCTTGGCAAATGAATGAAACCCAGTTTCTTTCTCAACGAGTTAGGGAGAGAACCAATGCTCCCGTTCCTCGTTTTCTTCTTCTCTTTGTTTGGATGATGGGCTTTGGTTCATGGTTGCGTTTCTCTTTCTACTTCGTTTTCTCTCTCTAATTGTCGGGCAACTTAAAAAGGTATACTGTAATTCGATTATCGGATAGCTGTTTTTTTTTCTAAAGCAAAAAACCCACCTGTTCAGTTACCGGACAACTTCGTTTTCTCTCTCTAATTGCTCGACAACTTAAAAAGTTATCCGGTAATTCGAACACCAGACATTGTTTAAAGCTAAAAAACCACCTGTCCAGTTACCAAACATGGGATTTGGGAAAAAAAATATCGGAGGGAGGGTATTGCCCGTAAATTGGGACATTCCCATTTTGAAATGGACCCCCTCCCTCCAATATTGCTCGTACTTAAATTTCTCTAGCGTATTTTGTAACATATTTTTGGACCGTCAATTTTTAAGATTTTCAAGTTTTCGTAGATCTATTGATCTACACTATTTTTCAAGATTTAAACTTTATAGGTAAAGATGAAAATATATTTTAAAGAAACTACATTTTTCAACACTAATTGTAGATAGACTCTAATTTGATTGTTTAGAGCTTAGGCTCTATACAATCCACACCCATTAAAAAAAGGGCAAGCTTCTATGTTTCCCCTACAACATAAAACTGAAAATGATTTTATGCAACGGTTGTATAGTAATATAACGCGACCATCTTCAATGTTTGATACGAATTTTTAAATGTACACGCTTTTAATTCTGAAGAACAATCACAAAAAAAAAATTTTGAAAAAAAACTCTAGAAAGTTCTCATTTTAGCCCAATTAATATAAGCCGTCCATTTTATTGAGATGGTTAGATATATGCATCATAAGGATTTTTTATTCCAAAAAGTTTTATCATCATTAGATTAATAATGCTAAAAACGAAAAAGTGATTTTGAATTTGTTAAGGCCTAGATCTTGAAATTCACCAAATGGATTGTCGAGATTCATTCTTAGATGGGTACTAATTTTGACCATATCTAGGGTGAAAATCAAATTCTTTTTTTCTGTAGGATTGATTATGAGGATAAAGAGCATGTGTGCGAAATTTATACTCATACAAATGCCAAAAATATGGTTTTCTAAATGTGTGGTTGCATTATACTTCTATACAACCATTGCATTAGATCATTTCCCAAAACTTATATACCTCCCATTATCCAACCGTCCATTCTGAATGGAGGGCCAAGATTGCCCCATTCACAATGTCACGTGTCTTCACTATTTGTTTTTAAATTTTTTTCTATAAACTATTTTGATACCAAATTTTGTATGTCCAATCCTATACTAAACTTGCACTAGTAAAAAATATTTTAAAAAAATATTTTTAATAAAATAAAATAACCAAAATACCCCTGAAAATTTCAATAGATATTTTGGTTATTATATTTTATCAAAAATTTATTTTTAATATTTTTTTATAGATTTGCCCCAATGAGAATATGGCACGTACCAAATTTCATATTCATACAGTTTGTATAAAAAAAAAACTAAAAGTAAAATACTTTTAAACATCGGTTCTAAAATCAAACAGTAAATGGCTCTCTTGATCAAAATTAAACGGCCGGTAGAAAAAACATAGATATTCTATATTGTAGGGAAAATATGGAAACTTTTCTCTGAAAGAATATCCTTTACAAAAGGGCTAAAAGGAACAAAAAGGATAAGAAGGTATCGGTCCCATTTTCCACCTTAAATTAGGACCTTAAGATCCAGAGAGTGGGCCTAACTCTCTTTCCTAAAAGGAAAGACTTCAGATTCTTTGTTGCTTCCTAACAAAGTTTGGATGGCGAACATTTTCGAAAGGGCACAGTTTCTATGCAGCCAACCCCCATATCGTAGAAACACGTAGTAAAAATTTCACAATAAATATATTAAATGCTTTATAACTTTGGACCTGTAGAAATGCGATCAAACTCGCATGAAACAATTTTCCTTTTCGACATATGATATGACATATGAATATCATAGATTCGGACATTCCGAAAATAACATATGAGAAGATCTCAACTCTATAGAAGATGGTCGATCGAGATTTAAACTATGTAGATAAGGAGGAAAAGCGAGAGAATGAGAGAGAGAGCGTATGCATAAAAAACTATAACATCTCTCCCTCAAAGTAGACACTTCCTAATGCGACTATTAGTTTTTATCAAATTTTATTAGACAAAATCATACAATTTTCCATATACTGATAAAAGAAAGAACAGGCCCTTAATCAAGGATATTTTGCACTTGCAACGAAATGGAGTGCCCGAAAACTATTTTTCTTTGATGAAAAAATTGCATGAAAATCATGAATTCAAGGAATTATAATGGAAGACGACGGTTGAGCCTCCTAAGCCAGATAGAGTGCAGAATCATATGAATCACGTCGAACCTTTTGGCTGGTCGGTTTACTACAAAATGGCGTTGCACCTGTAACACCCTCCTATATAACTGCAGATACCTCCTCTGTGATATTCTTTCTAGAATGGTCTTGATATCCGGTATTTTTGACACTGGTATATGTACGGAAAACTTTCTCCAATCAAGCACATCACTAAATGGCAAGACGTAGCTGCTGGAGATTATTACTGGAACACAACCACTGTAGATAGCCTCGACAACTCTAGGGCTTGCGACCTCATAACCACTAGGGCACAAGCAAAATTTTGCTCGTTGCATTTGCTTAGAGTAGCTTTGGCCTTTGGGTAGGTACTCGTGGACTTGGACTTGGGAGTCCTTGTCCTTCCATTGGCGTAGAAGAAGTGAACGAATGTAGCCGTGCTGGGCACCAGCAAAGAAGGCTAGGATGGAGCGGCGGGATGGGGAGGGGCCACCGATGAGGCCATCGAGGCGGCCAGTTTTTAGATGGATCTCCGGCATGGAGACATCCTTCCGTGGGTCAAAACCTTCCGACGTATTTGCATTGCAGAGGACCCTGATTGAGTTGCGGTTGAGCTCTGGGTTGGCTTCTGAAGCATCTGGTGCCTGAGTAATACACTAAGGGCTTTAGGGGCAGGAGTTATTAGGAAAAATAACATGTACTATGTGGGGTTACAAATTTTGAGAAAACCATAATGTAATATACAGAATAAAACTATTGAACTCTTGTATAAAGAGGTTAGAATCACTTCTAGATCTTAGATTTGAAATCGAAAGGCTAAAAAAACGTAATTTATCAAGCTCAAAGCTCAAAGAAAGTTTTTTTGAACTCTATAATAGACTTTAAGCTGTCCAATTTGACATTTGATGTCTAGGATTCGTTATGACCTCCTTATTCCAAAGATAAAACAATTTTATAGTATATAGTCCGAAACCCTAAGTTCCCTCATCTCATTGGTGGAGTGGCTAGTAACATGCTTGACTGGGTTGAGAATCACTCATTTTTTAATTCTAATTAATGTTTCTTGCACTCGTCTTGACAGATTGGGAATGAAGATGGGTAAGTGCATGGATTTTTCTATGCATCAAGAGTAAATATGACATGATTTTGTTTACTTCTCAGTAAAACTGAGAGAGAAAGGATAACAAAAGGGAAAGTAGAGGAGAATCCTAATGACTGTAGAAAGATCATGATCACTAGCGTTATGAGCACCCACTGAAATGATTGTTACCAAGTTCATCACCTACCATTGGTTAACATTCACTCAGAAAAGTTCATCCCCAACCATTAGTTAACATTCACTCATAATAGAAGTTCATCACCAACCATCACTGAAGTGTTGAATAGTGATGGAGAGCCTAGTGTTATCGAGACGAGACAGGACTGACAAGTAGGGGCCTTTGCTAATATGGTCCTCAGGTTCGAGTTGGAAATTAGCCAAAACCAATGATTGATTGATCTTGACAGAAAGACTGAAAACAAGGTTGGCTCAAGGTTTCTTTTAAGGTATTTCATAATTTTAAATTATTATTTTTATTTGATTTTTAAGATAATATCTCACCACCCCTTTCCATCACTTCATCAAATGTTGATACCTTTTAAAGGCTATCAACTTTCTGTAGATCTATGCTTGCCCATTTAAAAAAAAGAGAGTTAGCACTAGTGTTCCTACATACCCAGTCATGGCAGGAAAGATAGAAGTGGTCCGAGCCCTGCGTCCTGTTCCAAAATGGATACTTGCGAGAAATGATGCTAATATAATCAGAGACAACTCGATGGAGTGGACCTCTGCCGTATGTCTTAGGAGGGTAGAGGTGGTGGACCAACTTGGTGATGCTAAGGGGGATGAAGTGCAAGTGAGCATGCTCCGGGCTCGAGGCAACAAACCGATTACCACTATCAAACTCATGGATGAATTGGCCCTCCATGGAGTATATGCTCTTGCATGGTCCATCGTGGACTAGAGGTGGCTCACCTTCCTTATAGATCCACACCTTCAGCGTCTTCTCCATCTCCAAATAGCTCCTGTTTGACTAGGGCAGGACCAAGTTAGATTTTGGCACTTAAAAACGAGTAAAATAAACAAAGTGAGACCATGAAAAATGAGGCGAATTTAGGGGTGCCAAGAGATGGAAAATACGAAATGTGGTTTGATCTAGCCTCTTCATCTCGTTCTGAAAGGATATTTGATAAAACTTCATCAAAATTGTTTTTAACAAAAGGAGAAACAAGTAGAGAATGGGAAGAGTTTTTGAAGTATTTTTGGAACCAACTGAATAACGCATGCAGGTTGTCTACTGAATCTAAACCATGTGATTCAAGTTATTGCTCTTTTTTTTTCACCATTTTGCCTGGAATTGTATACAATGAGACCATTTACCTTTGGTACAGGAAGATCAAAATTATTTGTAACCATCCGATATAAAATTTGATAGCTTGGATGTGTCTCAAAGTACGAAAAAAAATATTTTGAATTTTGAGCTTGGTCAATAAAATAAATACAGTCACCCAATTTCAATGGGTAAGATTAATTACGACCACTTTATACCAAAAGTAAATAATCCCATTATATACTTTTCTTATTTACTACTCCAAACAATGGGACTCAATAATTTATCTATCGCAGTGGTTATACAGAAGTACAGAAAATTTCACACCTTTCTAGATAACAACCAAATGAAAGCTTATCATTTAGGGGATACAAGAATAACGGTGTGTTTTGCATCATTTACTCATATGCCCCTATTTGTTGTGTTCCAAAAACTGAACATTGCTTTTCTCCATCCTAAGACAGTTAAGAAAGTCAAAATGGGAGGAACAATACTTTAATTTTGATGTGACCTATTTCTCCAAACAATTAAATTACTACTTTCAGTAGGACGAAAAGCTAAAACAACAATTTTGTTTTATTGAAAAAGAAAACAACCTGTGTAAATAAGGGTATGGCCCTCCAAGGGGAACAAAAAATAGGACTGGTGCAAGACACTCCACATAATTAAAACAAAGCTGGACGATGCCAAATAATTAGAATAAAGCTGAAATACTTAAACGTCGAAAACAAAAAAAATCACTAGCAATGGGAGAGCTTATCCCTACTCTACATATCTAAGTTGGGGCAATTATTCACAGTCATTATCAGGAGACGTGACCCATGTGATGCGATTAATTTTTTTCTCATGCATTACAACGAATCTAAAACAATTATTCAAAACCTAACACTGAAGTAATTAGGGCCGGGTCGTGGTGGTAGTACTGACCCTCTGCCACCGAGCCCCAATTTGAAGGTCGCCTACTTCTAAAAACGGGTAGGGGCCATTATTCTCCACTAATTTCCCCTAAAATAAAAATAATAATAATAATAATAATAATAATAAAAAAAAAAGACTAAACCAACTTTGCCAACCGGAAATAATCAGGCCACTTCTTGAAGGAGTCGTGGGCAATTTGTTCATTGGTTGCCTTGTTTGAAAAGAGCCTTTGAGCTCTTCTCCTCTGCATTTCGAATTTCCTTTAATTTGTATAGTGAATACAAATTTCATAAAAAACAGTTACCAGGAGAACTCATGAGCTCCGTGATTTTCCTATTCTTTCCTAAATTTTCCGGCGGACAATTTATAATCTTAAAATTCTAAATACCACATATATTGAATTTTCTTGTCTTTTTTTAAGACAAACTCCTTAATTTTTTGTCTTTGTATCATGAAGTTTTATGCCGTGAATTCGTACCTTAAATTCCGAAGTTCACTTTTTCATCCGTCTATTTTTCTACTGCTTTCCTTCTCTTTTTTTTTTATGGGCATGAATAAAAGAGAGCAAATTCATTTTCATTGTAATTCATGAAGTACAGGAGTGAGTTTCAACTCATGCTATAAAGGTTCAAGCAAACAGAGGGAAATGGAAGATTCATAAAAGCAAGAATCTGGAAACCCCAGAAATTGTTCCATTTTGAGCTTGAATTTTCACACCACGAATTCAAATGTCCAAAAAGAAAAAAATTAATAACGAATTTTTCAACTTGTTCAGTTTTTTATTTGAGATTGAGGTCTGAAACTTACTGATAGAAGGCATAGGGATTGCGGTAGGCTGCGCCCTTCGGTACAAATGAATCACCACCATAGCAAGAATCATTGCAGAAGCGGGCAGCTCGTTTGATCGACGAACGAGCTCTCGCCAACTGAGCGTCCAACCTCTGCAAACTCCTCTGTTTCTCTCTCTTCTACATGAAAATCACTCATATCAGAGAAGTTTCTCAAAGTGATACTCCCCTTTTTTCCATCCATATTTCTCTCTCTAAAATAAAAGAAACGGCGTTTAAAAAAGTTTCTTACAGTTGAAGGAGAGAGAACTTCGTCAGTGGAATTGTTGGGTGGCGGTTCAAATTCTGAGTTGTTGGAAGGCATGGGGAAGGCGATGGCGGGACCATGGTCTAGAGAGAGAGAACTGCCACTGGTTTTGTTCGGTGGCGGTTCGAATTCTGAGAGGTTGGAAGACATGGGGAAGGCGATGTCGGGACCGTGGTCTAGAGAGAGAGAACTGTCACTGGTTTTGCTCGGCGGCTGTTCCAATTCTGAGAGGTTGGACGACATAGGGAAGGAGACTGCTCTCTGATTGTATCCAGAGACGGCGGTTGTACCGCGAATACGAGGAGGAGAAGGTTGGGTATAAGGTATGGTAGCATAGATGCAACCTGCAAACAGGGCACCGAGAAGAAACAGAGGAACTGAGAGCATCAAGGTGGTGCTCGTGTTGCAGTAAGCTCCCAATCTTGGGAGCTTTCTCAATTTCATATCAGAGAGAGAGAGAGGGGGCGGTATTTGTGGTGATTACAGGAAGAGAGAGATGTTTGACTTTACATCACAAAGAGGTAGCTAAGGTTTAATGGAGAAATCCATGTTGCAGAACGTCCCAATTCTCAGGCACCTTCCCTCATTTCAAGAGAGAGAGGGAGAGAGAGAGCAGCTTGTTAAGTTCATATCAGAGGACAGAGAGAGAAAGAGAAGAGAGAGGAGCTTGTTAAGTTCATATCAGAGGAGAGAGAAAGAGAGAGAGAAGAGCTTGTTAAGTTCGTATCAGAGGAGAGAGAGAGAGAGAGAGAGAGAATTAAGGTTGCATGAGCAGGAGCAGGGTGGATGGGGCATGTGTAGGTGCTTTGGTTCCCACACCTGTGGTTTCAGAGCTACGGCAGGACGTAAATAAAAGGAAACGTATTTGGAAAATCGTTTGCTGAATCGCATTTCTACAATATGCGGTCTAGCGGAATAAAGCTAGCCAACTTAAAGGATGCGGCGAATAGGTGGGTACATTTAAAACCAATTGTAACGCGAGTCTAAATGTTTTTTTAATATAATTATTATTTTAAAATTTTTTTTTTTATATTCATGATCTTCATGTTAGAAAAATTATATATACTCTAAAAATTGAAAAATCGTTTCATGTGGGCTAGATTGCATTTCTACACATGCAGATGAAAATAGGTATTCCATCTAAAAATAATGGAAACGAACGATCCAAATGTTTTCTTATCAAAATTATTATTTTTAGTTTTAAAAATTTATTTATTCTTTCATATTCATGATCTCTATATTAGAGATTATATGTCTTTAAAAATTAAGGCTTAAAATTCATCTAAAAAATAGATTTATTAAGAAACCCGCATTTCTACGTATGCGAGCTTGGCAGCATACAAACTAAGTCCCTAAAAATTAGGATCAATTTATATTTAAAAATATATTTATTGTTAACCAATATTTCTACAATATATAGGCTGGTCGCATAGAAACTATATCCAAAGTATTTAGTCAATCAACCGACTCATGCTATTCTTACGAGGTGTCGCTACAAAATATATGTCAAAGATGTATTCTCGATTCAAAATTTTAGAGTTTAATAATTTCGACGGTGATAAAAAAATTAACTTTTATTAAATAAAATATTATTTTTAAAATTCTATTCTTCACTGTTTATTAGATGTAATGTTTTTTGGACATCAACCTTCAAGACGAATGTTAAATAAACAATGGACCATAAGGTGATAGGTGAGTCGGCTTACTCACAAAAAACTGTGGCCTTTAATAAAATGCAACAGCTGCTGAACATCCCTGCCTTTTGTTCATGCTAAGCTAAACATGGTGCATTTCTCTCTCTAAAGAATGACATATACTTGGGATAGATGCACGCCATTTGGAGAGAGAAAGAGAGGGTCATAAACGCATAAAGAGAGAGGAAGAGAGAGATGATATTTAAGTGTTCACTTTGTGACAGATAAAGACAATGAGATATATGATATGTGTTACACATTTCTTTGCCAACGAGAGAGAGATATACAACTCTGTGAAATGCTACTGCAATATCGTGCTTCAAGTTTGGTAAGTTTATCATAGTTGTTGACAAACTTAAGAAGAAAAAATAAATAAATAAATAAAACACGACTATTTATCTCTTGTTTATCATTTTTAATAAGTTATATTATTTAAAAAGAAAACAAAAGCAAAAACATATAAGCCTACCGGTTTTGAGTTGAATTGATGTGGACTCAATTGACTTGGCAAACTTAAAAAGAAAAAAAGAAAAAAAAAACAAAGGGAAAAGTTACAAGCTAATTTTTTAAAGGCTGCTCGACCCAAATTTTTTTAGAAAAATAAAGGGTTCGGCAATTTATAGAGGTGGTCCGGCAATGGAGTTCTAGAAAGCAAAAAATGGGGTCTGGGACTTTATAAAGGCGGTATGGCATACTAACCACAGGGTTCAGTAATATGTTCACACGGTCTGGCATAACCGTGTCCCGATCAGGCAATATTATCCTAAGGTTTTTTCGTGCGGGTCCAACACCTTTTTCTCTCGATCTAGTACTACGTTTGTGAGTTCACGTCTTGTCTAGCCCCACGTAATTTCTTATGTATAGGAAAGGGCATTCTCATCAAAAAATATAATTTTTTCGGAGGGGGGTATTTACTATTAAAGTTCATTTTGGAGAAAAACTTACGAAAGAAAACTTGGTTGGGGAGAGGTTGTCTACAAAATCTACTTTTGAGAAGTTTTATTTAATTTTGCTAATTTTAAATTATGAACAAAATATTCGTAATAAAAAAGTTATTTAGAGAACATCTCATATTTGATTCCCACTACTAAACTACCAAAAAATTCTTCATATGATTTATAAGTGATAGACCAAGTCCCGATTTGGGGAAAGAATCACGTGAGGGTGCATGGCAGATCCGGTTTTGACAGTCCATTCAGAGAACAATTTCTCAAGACTCAACCTCTCTTTTCAAAAAAAAAACAAAAAAAACAAAAAAAAAAAAAACTTCGAATTTCGAAATGTACCGTTGTGTTCATTCATTCAAGTTATCATTACTTCCGAAGTGTGATTCCTTATCTGTCAACATTTGGTCAAGAAGATACTTGATCATGTTTTTGCTAAAATGTGACCAACTCCCTAACACCCATTTTTTGTATCTACTCAATTTATAAATCATGAAATTAACAAATAAGACAGGTTTTTGCTGAGATGCCTCTCTAGTGGGAATTACAAGCTTACTTTTCCATCATATATAAATTATTAAATTATTAATAAGAAATGCTTGGTTATAATTTACATGAGTGCTTTGTTATGAGGCCATTTATCATGCCAAACTATTCACTTCTAGCAAAGCATAACCTTTGTCCTTTGAGGTAAATATCTTTTTTTGGTAGTTGAGCACTAGGGTACGTTTTTTGGTAGTGAAAGGATAAAGGTACAGTAGTGAATAGTGATCCGCCATCCTAACTACCTGTCTTGAGCCAGGTAAAGTTACCCTTTAAACCAGATAAAGGTACACTCTAAACCATTCACTATTCACTATGTTATAAAAGAATTCAGGACAGATAAACGTACACTGTAAACCATTCACTATTCACTATGGTATGAATGAATTCAAGACAGGTAGTTAGCCTCGAGCTTAAAAAAACAAATTGACACTGTAAACCATTCACTATTCCTAACTACTTAGCCTCGAGCTTAAAAAAGCAAATTGAGACTTTTTTGTTGAGGTATCAACTCCGCTAACCAGCCCCCTAAACACCGAGACCCAAACCCCATTCCCATAAAAAAGGGCTAAGGTGGCGTTTGAGAGGATTTGAACCTTGAACGAGAGGCGCTATTTAACATTCAATATAGGAGTATAATTCTTATAATACATTCAACCCAAGGTTTAAAAAAATGGATTGGTGACCCGGATCGGTCATCCTAAAACCCGGTTTGGATAAGTAGATCAACAATCTAGAACGAAGAATCGGCCGGTTTGGTCTCAAAACAATTTAAAAAAAAAAAACGAAAAATCTGTAAAAATAGTGTTTTTTGAGTTTTCAAAAAAAATAGCAGTGACGTGTTTTTTGAGTTTTCAAAAAAAAAAAGATTTGGCCGGCTTTTGTTGACCATTATGCATTGTTTTTTATTTTTCAAAAAACTAAAAGTGATACATTATGCACTTTTATTACTTTTTAAACATTCGTGAATATTGAGATGTTGTTTTTTTGTCTGGAGGTTTGATGACCATTAAATTCATATTACTGAAAAAAGAAAAAGAAAAAAAAATAACTTACAATCAATATGGACATAAATACATGGTCTAAAATAGAACGTACAAGAATTAAAATACAACCTGATACCAAAATTAAACACAATGTTGTTCTTCCTCTTCATCGTGTTGATGCCACTCATTGAATTGTACTGAAAATTTATCGAGCCCTTCCATGTACGCCTCAGAATTGTCTGAATAACATGTTATATATTTTATATAATAATAATAACATGATACAATTTAAAATTATAATAAAATTTTATTGCTCTATAAAATAAGTTATTATAACAATAACAAATTAAATAAAAAAATAACATAATCTATATAACAATAACAATTTATTAAGAACATAGAAATTTAATATTAAATTATGTGATTTTTAATGTATTTATAACAATAAAAATTTCAATATAGCAATAACAATTTTAACATAATTATATTCATTTAAAATAATAATATTAAAATTTTATTTGTAAACATATTCATATAATTATAGTGACATAAGTTGAACAAGTTATTAAGATAAATAAACAATAATAATTTCAATATAATTATACTAATTTTTGTAAACTAATTATATGGAATTGTTTTTGTAATTATATGTAATTAAAACTTAACTATATATACTTTTACATTTTGTATATATATATATAAACAAAAAATAAATTTTATTTTATATAGGATTTTATTTTTTTAGACGAACTTGCCCTTGTATAAGAAAGAATGAGAGAAAGAGATGTTAATGGAAATGTATAAACGAGAGAGAGAGAGAGAGAGAGAGAGAGAGAGAGATGACGTAAAGGAAAGGTAGA